AATACATAATTTTTGGAATAGATTATCTTGAATACTCATGTGACCTTGATAAATTTTAGATATAACATTTCTAAAAGTACGTTACTTCCGCTCACATCGGCAGACCGAAAAAAGGCGTATCAATTACTCCAACGTGAATATTTTCAAGATGAGTGGAGGTACCTAAAGAATATTTTTATCAGGAATATATTTATAAAATATATTTTGTCATCAACTTGCATAATAACGATTACAGGGACGAAATTTGTCGAATGTTATATATGGCAAAAAAAGCCGAAATGCAAAGCCTATGCGAGAATTGTGATATATTAAATTATTTAACGATGAAATTTAAGAGTCCAGATTCTTGGTTGTAAATACTGTAAATATTTATTTTATAGGATAAATTAATTAATAATATAGACTACGTATCAGATATACAGTATAATATGTAATAATTAATTAATGATACAATATTATTAGGTGTCTAATGCAGATCTAATTACAGTCATTCTTCTTTATAATCACACTTTTGGATGTAGCTAAATTCGAGATTATATAGAGGTGTGATTATAAATAATCTATTCTATAACTGTGTTCTTACAAAAAACTAAACATTTGATAACCAGATGTAACAGATGATTTATTATACAGTGAGTTCCGAACGGAGCTCAAGGGTGGTAGGCCACAATGTCAGGCGTAACCTGACTCAACAGCTTGAGCAAAATGTTTCTTGCTCTATTTGCCTCTCTGTCAACGATCAACCCACATTTGTTACATTTAAATTTCTTGTCTTCACCTAAATTGTTCTTAACATATCTACATTGTTTACATGTCTTGGAGGTGTATTCCTTGGTACAAATTATCAATCTTTTATCAGGATATTTGCTCATCTTGTGTAATAAGAATTGATAAAATTAAAAATGATTTTATATTAACATATTACATGTAATTTTTGTGTTAATTTTTTGTTTTACTCATTTTATCATTTCTTGGGTTTTAAAAATTGATAAAATGATTATTTGATGTTACAAATCAAGAGTTGAAAAAATCAATTAATTGACAACTAATCAATTAATTTTTTTAGATATTAACTAAACTAATGTATTAATTGTGACTAATCAATTAAAGAATTAATTTGAAACTAATTAATTAATTAGTTAAAAATTCAGTTACAACTAATCAATTAATTAATAAATTAATTAGTTGCAATTGAAAAAAATAATTAATTAATTGTAAACATTTGACAATTAGTAACATTATCTGAAGATAAAATACAATATTAGGTTTATTACTATAAGCAAACCAAAAATTTTTTTACTTTTTATCAAATTTATTTTCTGATTCTGCTTGAATTAGACCATTCTACTTTGTAAAAAATTTTTTTATTTATCATCTTTGTTTTTTGGTTTTTTTTTTTAAATTGCAATATATAATTTTTTAAAATATTATTACTGATGTACTATATTTGTTAAATTAGATATAATTATTTTAAGAACATTTATAAGTGTTAATTGTTTATTAGTTATAATAATGTTAAATTTCTATACTTTATTAAATATTTTTATAAAATATATTAAAGCTTATTTATAGTCTTTTTTTTTTTTTTTATAAAAACAAACCAAAAAAAAAAATAGTATTGAAACTGGTTATATCTATTAAATTTAATAATAGTATTTTAAATTTATAAGTTTTATAAATATAATTTATAAAAATTATTATAAAATATTAATAATTAATAAATATTAAATTATTATATATAAAAAACAAATAAGTAACAGAAACAAAATTATTATATTTGTATTTGCAAAAAAGTCTTCTCTTTAAAGTTTATTAACTAATGCTTAAATAAAGATTTAGTTAGTTAAATTTGGTTGTTAAAACTATAAATATGTATTATAAATATTATTACTAGTAGCTAATACTAATGAATTATTTTGTCAAAACATTAATATAATTTTACAGAAATGTGAACTAAAGTTAATTATTGTTGTAACACTTTCTATTTATTTTTTTTTAGTTAATAAACAATAAAATCTTATAATATATCTTTTGAGAAACTATAATTATACTTAGCATTATAAACTTTCAAATATTACAAATTATTATATCAAATTATATATAATTTAAAATAATAATCTATTAATTTAATATTTTTTTTATTATTTGTTTTTTTACTAAAATTCAAAAAGTTATTATAAACACTACTTTGATCACAATATATTGTTATATTTTTTAATTTATCATATATCTTTAAGTTTTTTTTAGCTAAAATATAATTTTAAGATTTTGCAAATATTAGTATTTTAAAAAATTTTATTAGCAATATTATAGTATCAGAGTATTATAACTAATTAAAATTTA